ACCAGCTCTGCGATCTCCCTGCTGCCTGATCCTCCTCCAGGGAAGACCTCACTTGGACTGGGAGTAAATGCTGTGGTGATGGTTGGACTCTGTCTGGCAAGGCGCTGGCTCCTGACCCTGCTGTGATCATGGTGGCTGTGCTGGGGGCATGCTGGAAGTGGGGGCTGCCTGGCCTGGCAATCACTGCTGAAGACCTGCATGATGTTTTGCTAAGGAAGGGCTGGAGATGGACCATGCAGTGACTACGCTGGATGGGATAAGAGTGCATTCCATGGGGAAAAGGGCTTTACGTGAATGCCTGGAGCCCCAGGTGCACCCCTTGAACCTGCCTTGGCACTGGGCAAATCGGTTCTCTCTGCCCTGGGCTCTACTTTATCTAATTTGGCTGCAGCCCATCGTCTAATTGCAGTAGGTCCAACCCTTCCCCAGCCACCTCCATTGTCTGTTGTGGGAGCTCCCAGGAAAGGGAAATGGGATGAGAGGAGGAAAATAACCCAGGAATTGGGTGGGGAATGTAGCTGGGACACATTTAGGATGGGGTGGGAGTGGGCTGAAGTCTCCAGCCAAGGGGAGGCAGCAGGACCCCGGCAGCCCTCCTGTGGAGTCCTCCTCCTTCCCTTGGCCAGAGTTCAGCTCTGCCTTTGCCTCCCCCACCGTGATAACTCCCCCATTAGCAGCACCGCAGCACACAGGGATGTACAAAACAGTGAACGCTTTTTATTTCGCTGCTGGAGTGAAACCACCGTAATTTCATAAAACTCAAAAAAAAAAAAGTGATTACTAAAAGGCATACATTTTTTTTTTCCTTTTTACACAAAACAGAAGTAAACAGACAAGTTTCTTTTTAGAAAGGTTATAAAGTGTCAAAATCCTATACCTCATCTGCATATTCAAAGTGATGCTGCCTGATACAAAAAGCATTGGGTATAATAATTTAGCTATGGCTCAGACCGAAAAAAAAAAAAAAAAAAAGTCATCTGGGCTTAATCTACACATTACTACGATTGCCCATGGAGTTAAAGAGGAAAATATGCAGTTCTTTGTTGCACAGAAGGGAACAGCAGGGAAGTTGAAAGTTCACTGGGAGATCGTCATCTAAAAGGAAACCTAGCGCGGTGAAATTCCCCCTTCCCTGGGAACGTCTGCCAGAGCTGGCGAGCGGGACCACAGCCGGCCCGTGACCCCCTGCTGTGCCAAGGAACCAGCCACGTTTTTCCCTCACCAGATGGTACCCCATCCAAATCCACCCGCCAAACTGTACCTACCCAGCCCGCTGGAAGCAAATAAGCTACAAGACCCTGGAAACTGCATGGAAGTCACGAATCTCCCTGTGCGCTATCCCACTGGGACTAATAAAACCCAAACAAATGCAATGAAAATAAAAAAAAAAAAGAAAGAAAACGACTGGTTCTATTGTAGATAGAGCAAGACTCTCTGCTTCCTCGGGAAATCTGTTACTCATAAACCTCCTCATCCCAAGCTCTCAGCCCAAGCGCCACAGTGTCAGCCTTACTGCAAGACTCGTCACACGAATTTACAAATGTAGTCTTCAAACACGCGTCGCCAGAGCTTTCTCATATAAAGAGCCAGCCATTTGTGATGGCTGCGTTGCCTTCTTTCCCACCGTTGACCTCACCCTGCGCTCCATCCAACTGGCAAACATGGAGAACACAAGGGACACATGAGCCTCTTAACCGAAATGCAGATAAGGGCACACGTATGCCACTGGTGAGAGGACACAGCTATGCGTTCCTGCTCAGATTTATTCCCTCATGTGAGGTTCAGCCATGATTGATTCCTGGGCAATGCCTACAAGCTCTTGGTTTGATGGTTAGGGCATCTCTGCTTTGCCATCCCTTGGGTCTCCAAAGCTCTTGCTACCAGTTTGGGAGCCCTGTCCCTGCAAACTATGAAAAGATGGTGGGTTTCCATGGAGGGGGTGAGGGAGGTGGATAGGGGTGAGGAGGTATAAAACCCAGTTTGTGCCTTTGTTTCTGCAGAAAAGTTCAGGATAAGGTGGTTGGTTTGTAGCCAGAGCCATGGGGGGTGTTTGTTCCCTATGAGATCTGCTAAGACCCAATGGAGACAACTGGAACAATAACAGAATCAGCAAATACGTCGGATTTTTAAGGCTCTCCTTTCAACATCTTGGAATCTAAGGTGAAATGAGGATTAGTGTACAAGGAGAGACCCCAAAACCAGCTCAAACCATGAGCCCTTGGCCGCTGAGGCCTCGCCCTGGTACTATGAATCTGCTGAGCTCCAACTTTCCCTCTTCCCCACTGTTCCAAGATTTTTGTGAGGGAACTGGGCTCTTCTTTGAGATTTCTAACCCAAAACCCAGTTGGAAGACCTCTCAATTTCCCCAGCCTGCTACACTTCTGTAACCCTCTCTAGGCTGCAACTTTGAGGAGCTAGTACCTCAGAGGTAGGAGCCCAAGTCCATTTAAAAAAATCCCAAATATTTGGCAGTCCAACCCAGAGAAACCTTGGAGTGGGTTCAAGCCCTCCATGTAAAGATGGCAGTTCCTGGGCTGCTGAGGTGTCCTGTCCATGGAGCAGCACATGGGAGGTGACAGCAAATTCCAGGACAGGGGGGAGACATCCATTAAAAAAAGAAAAAAAAAAAAAAAAAAAAAAAAAAAAGGAAAATTAAAGCAGCATGGTTTTCAGGTTTTTTTTGTGGTGACTCACAAAACTGAAGACTATCAAGATGTTGCTCTGCCAGCCAGAGGTCCTCAGGATTTGGCCACATGGATTATACCAGGTCAAGGACTGCTCTTACACGAGAAGCTCTCTATTTTTAAGGTGGTTGGGTCGATGCTACATAAAGCAAAGGAGGACTGCAAAGCCTGTTCCCTGCCCTGTGTTCCCCCCAGACAAGCCCACCAAGCTGAGATTTGAGCGTACTCTCATCAGAGCTCAGCACCGAGCACTGCCACCATCAAACCGTGCATGGAGAAGAGTTCCCATGGCCAAAGGAGGCTGAATTTAAGCCCCTCTGTCCCCATCATGACCCCAACTCGAAAGCATCGTGGCTGAAGCCCTGGAGCGCTTGCCCTGGGCAATCTGCCATGCGATGCCCCAACGAGCGTGCACAAGGAAAACATTTCTCCTCCTCTTGGCAGGGCAGAAACATCTCCAAGCCCGCAAAGCAATGGTTCCCACTGCTTTATCCTAAACTCTTTGCAAGTCACGGCACAGCCTGTTGTGACCAGGGAGCACAGGAGACCACGACGTCTCCTAGCTAAGAGGGATTGGGGCTGTCCCTGTCACAACACCAAGCTGCCTCCTACTGCCCCTGGGGACGAAGCAGCACCTATTTTAGCAGCAGGAGGACACAACGGGGAAGGAAGAGGATTGTGACCCACCCAGGGGCACTGCTGCAATACAGGATCAGGCCTTTTTATCAGCCCTATTTCTCACCCTTCCCAACCAACGCAGACCATTCAACCACCGCCACCTTCCCCACAAGACATAGGAACCAACAGCCTGGAAAAGGGCAGGAGAAACTCAAGGGACCAAGGGCTGTCCCACAATGTGGGGGCTTGGACAGGCCCGAGATGTGCGGTATGACAGCTCCGGGGCCATGTGTGGAGGGTCTCTACCTCGCTCCACACCACTGCTCATCCCATGGGATGGCCATTCTTGCCATGCAACGGGGCTGGCTCCCATCAGGAGAGGACTGGCAGCGCTGGAAATGGCTCCAAGCTCCTCCACATGTGGTTGCACATAGCCATCCCCTACCCTTCTGCAGGTATTGAAAGTGTCTAACCAGCCTTCCTCACCACTTAGCCCAAGAGAAGAACCCTCTGAATCAAATGTGTCTGGATACTGTGTTTTGGAAGGCACACAAACCTTTGGAGATACCCAACGCAGGGCACTGAAGGCATCTCAAGTAGGGCAGCCTAAAACCACAAGGTGCTGGATGACTAGCCCTCCTTGCCCCAACATCTGCGAGCTTCTGCAGCTGAGGGGGTGAGGAGCAGCGAGCCCGAAGGATACCTGGATCATCCCTTGGGCCATATATAAGCCCTGGTGATAGCAGATGGTAGCTGGCTGTGACCTGGTGCCAGGGATCGGTCTGGGGGGGCCATGGGTCACCTCCCAGGCCCCACCAGGCAGCGATGGGAGAAACAAAGGCCAGAGGACGTGCGGAAGACAAACAGTTTGGTTTTTTTTTTAAGTTTTTTTTTTTCCTTTAATTAGCAAATTTCTTCTTATCCTTTTCAAAAGAAAAAACACCCCCATGCCCCCTACGTGCCCACTGCTCCAGCTGCTGCAAGCGTTCAAAGGCAGAAAGTTGAGAGATGTTTAATGTCCCGGCTCAGGAGCAGCTCTGAGTCCACTCCACCAGGGCACGCACCGGGAGGGGGGGCGGGTTTGGGGTGCCAGGCGTCGTGTTACAGATGCCACTGGGTGTGGGAAAGGCAGGTGCAAAATTTGGTGGCGTGCTCCTGCCAGGAGCACCCAAAATCCCCCAGGAAAGCTGCAACCCAGCCCCTTGGACAGCAAACACAGCAGTGGAGGACATGGATGTGCCCCAAGATAGGCATTGCATCCCCAGGGCACAGCTGCCAGAACTGGGGGTTGTGCCGCAGCTCGGTGATGGGGACACGACAGGAGAGAACCCACCACCCTGTGCATTGAATTTGGAAGCTATAAATAAGAGCACCCCACGCTTTGGGAGACCCCCTGCTGACCCTGCACCCCAGCAAAGCTGGGTGCCTCAAAGCCCCACCACGGTCCCCAAATTTCCCAGCGCCTCTGTCTTCGCTGCAGTAAGCCCCCAACAAGCCTCATCCGCAGCATCCCAGCTGGCATCAGGGCAATGGGGAGACAGTGAAGTGGCAAAGGGGCTGGGAAAAAGGGAATGGTGTTGGGGGGACTTAGCTCAGCCCTTCCCGTGGCCACAAGGCCAGCACCAAGCTATGAGCCCCCTTCACCTCTCCTCGCTATGACCACCTTCTCCCCCGAGGCCACTGTGCCATCCCCACCTCCATCCCCACCGCCGCAGCCCTTATTTATAGGGAAGAGGTGGGAAAGGGTTTTTCTGGGGGTGCTCTAGCCCTCCTGCTCCCCATCCCTTCTTAGCTGGCACAGCCCTGCCTGCATCACCCCAAACCAAGCACCCTCTCATCCCTCTCAGTGCAACGGAAGGGGAAAGGGAGGAGGAGGAAGGCGATGAAGAACCCGACACGTGAGCTCACTGCCTGCTAACGCTAAGAGTCAAAGGGCAGCACTGCCTTCCCTCCTCGGGGCTGTAGCTGAGTGGGTCCAGCAAGACAACCCTGCTGTGGGTGCTGGAACACGGTGGTGGTGCTCCACGTCCCCCCACCCCAGCCCTGTCAGTGGGGTGGCGCGTGGGGTGCACAGGGCTGGGCGAGGAGGTGAGGGGGTGGGATGCGCGCGAGTGCCCGGGTGTCTGTGTGCACGGATTTTGGCAAGAGGTCATTGAGGTTACATGATGCAGCATTTGTTCTTGTGGTTATGAGGGTCCTTAAATCGGAGTCTCTGCTTTGGTCGGTATTTTTCCAAGTACGTCAGCTGCTTGCTGTTGATGGCTCCTCTACGCTTCCTGCGGGGACAGAGAAGGGCCGGCACAGTCAGTGGTGTCAGGAGAAGACCCCCCCACCCTGAACCCACCCCTGTTGGGGTGCTGAACCCCCCTTCCTGGAGCAGGAAGGGATTTTGGAGGCTGCAGCCTCCTGTGTCCTCTGGGGATGGAGACAGGCACCGACCCCAGCATCCGCCTCATCCACCGGCATCCAGCTCATCTGCCCTGTGGGCCTTAGGACACACGGGGAGCCAGGGAAGAAACACGTGTGGAGGTTGCCCAAAGCGGGGCGCCTGCCAAAAGCCCCCCCAGGGATGCTCCCAGATGCCTCCCCAGCCCTGATGCAAAGGCACAGGGTGCTCAGTGCTGCCCCCACCCCCTTCTCTTCCATGCCAAAAGGAGAGAAAAGCAACCCTGGTGCCTCAAAACCCCCCTGAGGTACGCCAGATCTCTCTGTTTCCTCAGAGAGGGGCTGTTTTCTCCCCCGACACCAAAACGCCGCTCGACTTACTGTCGGATGAACTGGATGGCATCTTCGTACTTCATCCCGCTCTCGATCAAGGCCAGCGCGACGAGGACAGGAGCACTGAAAGGCAACGGCAGTGACGGTCACTCCCCAGCCATGTGGCCCAGAGGCTGACATCCTGTCCCGGGGCGGGGGGCCACATCACAGGGCTATAACGGTGGCATTGCGGGCAATCTCCGGTGCTGGCTTTTCATTTGTAATTTCTTGCCATTTGGCTGCAAGTGCTGCCCAAAGGAAGGGATGATTTTAGAGGTAAAACCCCCAGGATGGGGCTGGCAGCTGTTTGCTGCTCTACTAATGAGCACGAGGACTTTGGAGGCAAATCTGCTGGAAAAGTGGTTGTAAATACACATGCAAAACCTGACCTGTGGTGGGGGGAGCAGCGAAACACAGCGGCTCTCGAAACGCAGCGGCTCCCAGGTGTAGCTGGCAGCATTTTGCAGTATTTCCACAACGACCTCTTTAGCAAAAGCAAAATCCCTGTGGGGCTCTGGCAGCACAGCTCTGAGCAACCCAGGTTCCTCCCCCCCCCACCAGTGCCCAGGATGGGGCCATGAGAAGAGGAAGGAGGAGCTCGGGCAGCGGCCCTCCTTGTCAATGCCTATTCCCGCTAAGGTCTCCTCTGCATGCAAAACCCCTGCTCTAAGGTGGAAGGAGGAGAGCAGGCATGGTTTTCCCTCTTCCCCCTTCATGGGTGGGGTGGCTCTGACTTACCGCCCCAGGCCAGCCACGCAGTGCACGGCCACGCAGCAGCCGGGGTCTTCGCAGAACTTGGTCTTCAGCAAGTTGAGCCAATCTTCCACTATTTTGCTGGGAGGAGGCGCTCCGTCATCGAACGGCCAGTCCTGCAAGGTGGGGGGGCAAGGGAGGGGGAAGAGAGAAACGCTTGTTAGACGCTGGGGAAAAACTCAGGGAATTGCTTTTTACTCAGAGCGGTGGCGTTTTGGACCTCAGCAGAGGGGAGGTGGATCCGTGTGCCGGCAACGGGGCTCGCAGCGCAGCTCCCTGAGGATGTAGCAGCCATACGATAGGGTCCTCCCATCTCTTATGGACAGGTTCAGCCCTCAGGAGCACCTACAAGACCTGCAACGTGGTCCCCATGTCCTCCTGTCTCCGTGGACCATGGTGACCATCACCTGCCTCCTTCCTGATCGCATGACAGTGCTGAGCTCTGAGGAGCTGCAACCCCCATCCTTCCCCCCACCAGCTCCTGTCTAAATCCAGCACTTGGGAGCACCAAGCCACTTTGTAGGAAGTTTGGGCAAAGGTGGCTTGGAGATGGCTGAAATCTCAGGGCCTGATGCGGTGCCAAAATTCAGCTTGCTGCAACACATGGGAGTGAAAGTGAACACACAGCCCCGAGAAGATGCTCTGGGGACCCCCTAAGAACAGTCCTAGAGAGAGAAGAAGGGAGGGAGACCCCTCCAAATGGAGCCATTTAGCATAGAGCATCCTTCAGGAAAGGCTCTCAAGGGACAAAAAAAAAAAAAAAAGTGCTCATCATCTTCTGAGCTTCATCCTCAAGCTGCATGGACTCAACATCGGAGCTTGGTGACGAAGTGGGTAAAACGGGTGCTGCATTAAGCACCCCCTGGCCCTGGGCTCTGCTATGGGGGAGAAGCGTCACCCCCCTTGCCTGTGACTGCTGCAGCATTTTGGGGAAGGGACGGTCTCTCCTCACGGGCATCGGTAGCCAGTCAAGGCTGTATGTCTCTCCCAAAATGGGGAATTCTCTCCCAACATGGATTTGGCAGGAGGAACGTGGCCGCTGGCTATGCAGCAGTGGGAGAGGGGGACGGCAGGAGAGCATTGCTTTGGAGGGCACGTGGCACGGTGATCCCCAGTGAGTGGGAAGCACGGGGCTGTAATCCTCATGTTTGAGGAATGAGTCACTAAGCTGGAGTCATCCTTGGTGTAAGATGGCAAAAGAAGTCGCTGGGCTCCACTTCAGTCTTTGAACCCGTAATGCAATTTCAGCGTGGCTTTGCTAGGAAAGGAGCGTGCTGGGCTTCAGGGTACCCTAATGCTCGAGCCAGCCCACCCTGTGCAGCCCGTGCCCGTCCTCCAAGATCATCTCCTCCCCACGGCACCTGGAAAGCTCTGTTTCAGCCATAAGCCAGGTCACTGGGCTCGCACTGGGGATGATGCACCGTATCACAAAGTCATTGAATGGTTTGGGTTGGAAGGGACCTTCAACGATCTTCTAGTTCCAACCTCCCTGCCATGGGCAGGGACATCTTTCACCAGATCAGGTTGCTCAAAGCCCTGTCCAACCTGACCTTGAACGCTTATAGTGAAGGGGCATCCACAGTGTCTCTGGGCAACCTGGTCCAGTGCTTCACCACCTTCATTGTAAAGAAATTCTTCCTTATGTCCAATCTAAACCTACCCTCTTCCAGTTTAAAACTGTTGCCCCTTGTCCTGTCACTACAGGCCTTGGTAAAAGTCTTTCTCTGTCTTTCTTATAAGCTCCCTTTATATATATTGAAAGGCTGCAATCAGGTCTCCCTGGAACCTTCCTCTTCTCCAGGCTGAACAACACTGACTGTGTCAGCCTTTCTTCACAGCAGGGGTGTTCCAGACCTCCGAACTACTTTCCTGGCCCTCCTCTGGACCTGCTCCAAGAGGTCCATGTCTTCTTGTGCTCGGGTCCCCAGACCTGGATGCAGTGCTCCAGGTGGGGTCTCACGAGACTGGAGCAGAGGGGCAGAATCCCCTCCCTTGGCCTGCTGGCCATGCTGCTTTGGATGCAGCCCAGGAGACGGTTGGCTTTCTGGGCTGCAAGTGCACATTGCCAAGTCGTGTCCAATTTTTTATCCACCAGTACCCCCAAGTCCTTCTCTGCAGGGCTGCTCTCCATCCATTCATCACCCAGTCTGTACTGATACCGGGGATTGCCCCCACCCAGGTGTGGGATCTTGCATTTGGCCTTGTGGAACTTCACGAGGTTCTCATGGGCCCACTCCCTAAGTCTGTCAAGGTCCCTCTGGACAGCATCCCGTCCCTCAAGTATATAAATGGCACCACTCAGCTGGGTGATATCCACAAACTTGTTCAGGGTGCATGCAATCCCACCACCTACATCACTGATGGAGATGTTAAACAGTATTGCTATATCCAACACAGTATATCTATCCTACACCATAAACCTTCCTACAGCAAAACACGCACAGCACTGGTTTCTGCCCCGTCTCTGACCTGCTGGCAGAGCTGCTGAAGCACCAAGTGCTGCCCAGGTGGCATGGCCAGGAGGACTGGCAATGGAGGAGCCACCGGTGAATGTGGCCTCCAAGGAGATGTCCGTGGCACGGGGCACCTGTGTCTGGCACAACTCAGTAACTGCCGTCAGCTGTAGGGATTGCCCAGGATCCCATGCGGCACATGGAGGAGCCAAAATCAGAGAATCATAGAATCATTTAGGTTGGAAAAGACCTTTAAGATCATCAAGTCCAACCATTACCCTAACATTGCCATCCCACCACTAAACCATGTCCCTAAGCACCTTGTCTACCCGTCTTTTAAATACCTCTAGGGATGAGGACTTGACCACCATTTCGGGGAAGAAATTTTTCCTAATGTCCAAACTAAACCTGCCCTGGTGCAACTTGAGGCCATTTCCTTTTGTCTTATTGCCCGTTACCTGGGAAAAGGTGTCCAAACCCCCCCAGGGAGTGCATCCAGGATGGGATGTGGATGCCAGCACCCAGGCACACCGCACCAGAGTTGGGCCTCGACCACCTTGTGCCTATTCCCCAAAGAAAGGGATAGGATATATAGATGTAGTCGCTCTATATAGATACACAGACTATATGTAAGGAAGAAATTTTTTACGATGAGGGTGGTGAAACACTGGAACGGGTTGCCCAGAGTGGTGATGGAGTCCCCATCCCTGGGAACGTTGAAGGTGAGGTTGGATGGGGCTCTGAGCAACCTAATCTGGTTGAAGATGTCCCTGTTCATGGCAGGGAGTTGGACTAGATGACCTCTAAAGTCCCTTCCAACCCCAACTATTCTGTGATTCTGTGATTCTATTTCATATATTTGATGTAGGTATAGAGAGATATGTCTGTATCTGCGTAGATATATCTATCCACAGATACATAGGATATAGATACCGCTCTGTCTGGCTTATATAGTGTCTATATAGTTATAGAAACCTGTATCTTATCTATAGAAACAATATAATTTCTATATAGTATCTTGCATAGTTTCTGTATCTAGGATATAGATATCTCTCCACATAAAACGTATCCTAGGTATGATCTCTCTCTATATAAGATATGTAGAGAGATATGTGTCTCTTAGAGCCCTTCAGACTGAAGGTCTCCAGCCAGAAACAGGGTACAAGGGAGAATGTAAGAGCAGAGATGACGTCCTACATACAGATCTTGTATGTAGGATACAGCTACCTTTCCCTATAAGATATATCTTATAGAGACATAGTACCTATATCTAGAGAGATCTGCATCTGGAGGATTTGTACCTAGAGAGACATAGCATCTATCATCGACATATATGCACAGAATCAGGAGTATGTCAGGAGGATATCACAGAATCACACAGAATCACATAGTGGCAGGGGTTGGAAGGGACCTCCAGAGATCATTCAGTCCAACCCCCCTGCTAAAGCAGGCTCACCCAGAGCAGGTTGCACAGGACATCGTCCAGGCGGGCTTTGAATATCGTCAGAGAAGGAGACTCCACAACCCCCCTGGGCAGCCTGTGCCAGGGCTCTGTCACCCTCAAAGGAAAGAAGTTCTTCCTCATGTTCAACTGAAACCTCTTCTGCTTCAGTTTGTGCCCATTGCCCCTTGTCCTGTTGCTGGGCACCACTGAGAAGAGTCTGGCTCCATCCTCGTGACATCCACCCTTAAGATATTTGTATGTGTTGATGAGGTCCCCTCTCAGTCTTCTCCAGGCTGAACAAGCCCAACTCCCTCAGCCTTTCCTCATAGGGGAGATGCTCCAGTCCCCTCATCATCTTTGTTGCCCTCCTCTGGACTCTCTCCAGTAGTTCCTCATCCTTCTTGAACTGGGGAGCCCAGAACTGGATGCATATCCAGAGAGCTCTCTCTCTCTGTAGGCTATACATAGAATTATACAGAGAGCTAAATAGAGAGGACCTACACACAGAAGACCACCCCAGGAGACACGAGGCACTTCCAAACCCTTTCCTATGCAACGAGCATAGCCTCACCTTCTAGCTGGAGCTGAACTCCCTGGCAGGGCAATCATGCCTGACATCATCTCCCATTACTTATCAGCCAAGATGCAGCCCAGGCAGCTGCCTGCTCTGCCTCCTTGCCTTTCCCTGCTTGCTGCCCGCTTCCTTTCATCCCCCAGAGCTGCACCAGTGGCTGCTGGAAGAGCAAAACCAACACCGCCCCCCCAGTAGATAAGATAAAGCCAGGGGTAATGGGAACCACACGCATCTTCCATGTGGGATCGGGCGCTCTCATCCCCTGGATGCTTCAAAGCCCGAGCGACAGGCAGGGGAGGCAGCTGCCGACTCAACCGAATGAGTCACAGTTTCGGGTGCGTGGGCTGCGCTTTCTTTTTTTTAAGCACCAGCCCCATCTCAGCCTGGGGGAGCGGGGAGCTCACCCGCCTCGCCCTGAGGATGAAGTTGGGCTTCAAGCCCTGCTCCCCGGCAAGCGCGATGCCGATTCGGTCTCTCTGGAAGGTGGGGTGTTTAGCAGACCTCAGGGAGGGGGGATATTTAAGCAGTGCCCATCCCACCGCCCACCTACCATGACGGTGATGCCGTCCTTCTCCAGGGGGGTCTTGTCGTAGGTCACTTCGCACACTCGCACCACTGTGGTGGCACCGTACTTCTTCAGGTCCTGCGGAGGGAAGGAGAAGGAGGGGTCTGAAAAAAGCCCTGCCAGTCGCACCCCAGTTTACCCCAATGCATCCGAGCCCGGCTATGACCACATGGACCCCTACAGACCCTAAACCAGTGCCGTGCCCCATCCTTGAGCAAACCCCTCTGTGGTCCATCCAGCTTGGGAAGCACAAGGGAACATTAAATCCCAGGGCACCACAGCTGCATGGCCACAGCTGGATTTTTACCCAGCACCTTCCCAACTCCTCGAAGTCCCAAGCGCCAATGGAGCTCTTTATTTTTAAGCCCCGATGGCCACACCAGCAGGATCTTTACACCCCAGGCCAAGAAACGTCCCTGACACGAGTGCAAATCCCCCAAAGGAGAAATTATTTGTGCACGGTCAGGTTGCAACTCCTGCTGCAGAAATGCAAGGAGGTGGCTGGGGTGGGGTGGGGGGGGATCCTGGCACACCCCGCCGACCGCACTCAGTGTCTTGCAGATTGCTCAGGGGCTCCTTCTTGAAGACCTCAGCGCCATATCCCATCATCGTGCCACCGCGCTGCAGGCTTGGGTGTGGGACTTGGGCTGTTTCCAGTGTGGCTTATCGCCCGCCGCATGGATTGCCCCCGGATTATGCGCTGGTCTACTGGCCCCAGCAGGCACCGCATGAGATCATCGCCTTCAATGATCCATCTCCTTCCTTCCCCGTGTGCGCTCGCCAGCCCACAGCAAACCCCTGCACACATGGCAGCTCAGCCAAAAACCTTAAGAAGCTGGAGGAAAGGGGAATTTCCCCCCCTTCCCACTGTGCTGTCTCCACCGCCGTGTGTGCTGCATGCGCGGTATGGGGTGGCCATCCCCAAATCCCAACCACCTCGCTGCGGCCCTTTGAGCCGATGGCACTCGCACTTGATTTTTCGGGTGTGCATTGGGAAGGTTTCCTTGAGCTCAGAGGATGCCTCTGGTGCCAGCACATCAGACCTCAATGCGGTTTAGGTCTAAGGCAAAACCCCTTTGCCAGGCTCACGTGCAGCCCCAGGTTCCCCCCACAAAAGCAGCAACAACCCAAAACGACTCCTCATAAGCAGAAACTGCTTGTTTTGGCTCGACTGAACCTGCAGGACACGGCGTTTTCCCCAGGCATTGCTAAAAAGAGCAAGTCAAAGCCTTTTGCTCCATTAATCTCCCCCTACTCCTGGCTCCAGAGGCATACAGCCAGCACCAAGCCCTCCAGCTCCTTGCACACCACCCAATACACCCTCACCAGTGGAAAGACGCTGGAATATTTGGGTCCTTACTGAGGTGCTGGGAGATGCAAGGGAGGTTGTCTGTGTCCACGTGCATCATTGCAAAGCCCCTTGACGTGATGTGCTGGTGGAGCTGGCAGAGGATGTGCCAGGAACGGGGAAACTCTGCTACATCTCCACCATGCCCAAACACCACGCTTGGGGTCTTCCAAAACGTCCTGCCCTAAAAAGCCAGTGGTGATCCAACCCATCACACCGGGATGCTACCAGGGTCATGGTACCCAAGTGGACTTGCCGCTGCCTCGTCCTACAGAGTATTGATCCCTGTTGCATCTCAGCATCAACTCTTAGCCCCAAAATGTGCAGCCAGGCCTCAGTCCCCCTCCCCTTCCAGCCTCCCCTTACCTCCAAGAAGGTGCTGAGCGTGGCGTTGGTGGGGTTGTGGGTGATCAGGAACCTCATGTTTTTGTAGCAGACCTCCACTGGCGCAGGGCGGTTCATCCGGGCCATGGCGGGACGGGAGGAGGGTGAGGTGGCGCTGATGGTGATGGGGGAAAAACCCAAGAAAAGTGTGGCGTGGAGGGGGAAAAAAAAGAGAAAAATCGACAACCCCTCTGCACTTAAAAAATAAAAATAAAACAGAATCGAGAACTCAATATACAGACGTTGTGCAAATAATCCCAGCTCCTGGGAGCGCGCGCCGGCTTCCTCGACACACCGCAAGCTCCCCGGGGGAAAAAGCCAGACGGGAAAAAATAATATTAATGGTATATAATAATAATAATAATTAAAAAAAAAAAAAATCCCTTTGCTGTAGTGTTGGCGTCCTCGGTGTGTGTGCGACGGCGAGCGGCTTTTGCCCCCCCTGCCCCACGCTCCCCGGCCCTCCAG